CAACTGAGATGTTTAGGTGTTTTATTTGTCGTGACTCACCTTGTATATATGTATAACAAAATAAATATATACATATAACAATATAATTAATATAAATAATAAATAATATAAAACGAATATGAACTAACACATTATGTAATAAATTCATTGTTCTCAGAATAGATTAAAGGCACGCATTGTGCAACGAATTAAACGGCATTAATTAGCGTCACTCGCAACGACCGGTAGAAATCCTCTAAATTTGATTTTATCTATTATTCACCTGGCAAAAGTCCCGAGAACTCCTATTAACTTAACCGGTTTCGTGTTAAGTTTAAAAGTCGGATTCCGCTCGGTGGAACGTCTTCGGTTGGAGTTAGTTAGACCAAGTATTTTCGAGTAGTGGAGGAGCTACTCCGTGGCGAGTACCGCGATAAAACCGTGGCCGATCCATCAAGATCGCGCGGAAAATGCAGTCAATCTATCAAACGTCATGCAACATAAATTGCTCCTGTAAATGCAAATTCGAACGAGCTCGCTGGCGAATCCGACGATCCTTTATTGCTCCGTTCGGGTTCAACGTTAAGAAATAGAAGTACATTTAAACGGTCGTATCCTTGCTCACAAATTCAAACGTCGTTGCAATTGTATCGTACAATTGCTCGCGAGAATAATTTCCTGTGCGATTAACGAACGCTCGGGAGTAAACCGCGGAAGACAGTGTGTCGTCAGGGGGGGGGAAGAAGGGGAGCGTGTCTAAAATTTGATGATCGACATTGTCGTTGCATTAACGCAACGGGGACCGTGTAACAGCGGTCGCGATCGATACCTGTTCCATTCGCAGAGAATACACCATTACGAATTAAACGCCTCATCCGTCTCTCCACCTCTGTCCTCCCCCCCCCCCCTTCTCCTCATCGTCGTCGCTTGTGGTCCGCAAACCGCGATAATCTTCTTACGCGATCATGGTGTGGGTGACGTATCGATCGCCGCCGGAAAGTGTGTCAACTGCGCTTCACTCCGCGACTAGAGCGAATCTTCTTCATCTTCCTTTCCCGCCGCGCGCCGTTTCGCCACCGATACGGGTTTGCTTTCTTCTTAAGAACGCGCGCGAACTCTCCCGCACGGTGAGCGTCAAGGGAGACGAAGCCAGTGCCCCTCCCCCCCTCGCCGCAACCCCTCGTTGCATTATTCATAAAACCTACGGACGCGACGCGACGCTGACTTATTGCGGTCGAGCGCCGGAACGATAGGGATTTGAATAAATTCGGTTAGATGTTCATGCCACGGACGTATCCATTTCACTAGGAAATTCATCACTCCTGGCTATGTGCGCTTCTCCTCGCTAATATCGGACGCATTCTGAAGGGAGGACGCGCCTTCGCCACGCGTCCCGACGCACATCCTGTTGAACCACCGTGGATCCTAGACCGATGCATGCTGTTTGCATCCCTTTTCCTGAATACTTCCCGGATTCGACCGCAATTATTTCTCTCCCGCCGGTCGAAATAACTCGTCCGATGAATACCGCGCTTTCAAATTTGACGGAAAAATTGCGATTCGCTGAGATGAAATTGTGCAATGAAAAGCGCGTCGGGAACTTTTGTGGCAAGGCGAATGATATATCGCCCGGGACAATAACAGAGATTTGCTTCGCTATTTTGTAATAATGAAATCGATTTTTTCATGGGAGGATACAATACTTGGGTTCCTTCGTTCTTTGTATTGTCGAACGGGGTTGAATTCCGTGTTCGTTCTGTGGAACCGAGCTTTGTCTTAAGAGTTTTATTAAGGAGGTTGGGTAGATCACTCGCGGGGCAAGCGGTGAGAGGGGTAGTCCTATGCTTATACATGGGTGCTCTATCGTGATACCAACCTTAGATAAAACAATTTGAATTCGTTAAATATCGTATTTATCAATGAATTTACAAAGAAATTAGTATCAAATAACTTTTTTTAGTGTTAAGAATATAAACACGTCCTTGCGATAGACATAAAAGTTAATATTATTGAATTAAAAATATGTTTCATTCAGTTGGATCAGTTATACGTGAGAATCCTATTAATATCTTCCCTTTTCGTTCAATTATCTAAACAATTACATTGTAAATTCGCATTTTTCTTCTTTCAAATTGTTAAAAAATGTTCGAATATTCTATTACACTTTAACTCTTAACGATGTTACCATTTTTAAAAACTGTATTTTAGAATAATGACAAGATTTCTTGTATCTCCCATAAGAGCTCGTGTATAAGGATATAAGTTTGACATAGATTTATTTACAAACTACGTTGTCAATCGTTCTGAAACTTTCACACAATATTTTTCATGCTTCTACTAGTAGATTAAAATAATTTTCAAAACGATTTTATCATATTCATTC